ATTTACTTAAATATTAAAGCGATATTTACAATTTATCCCACTATCCCTTTGCTTCGTAAGCGAAAATAATAAAAATTACAATTTGGACCCGAATTTGTAAAATTAAAATCCCAGCAGAAATAAATTTACTAGGTATTTTAGTTGATATTACAAATTTAATTGTAATAATTAAGAAACTTGAAATAATTTTTAAAAGAACATATCAAAATTGAGATTATTACAAATTACCTAATAAATTCTACTATTTCTACGGCAAATTCAGTTATTTACAATTTTTGCATTGTCATAAAAATTTCGTTTTTTCCGTGTTGCCTTAGTGCAATCAAACTTTCTATTTGAATGAAAATAAAGACCCCGTAGGTCCAAAGATCCCTATCCTATGATTTTTTTCTAAAATTCAAACCTTTCATAACAAGCATGCATGAGTAATCTTTTTGTGCGAGCAGGCTTTAGCGTGTGTAGATTAATACTGCGCTAACATTTCAACTGCACAAGCATTTCAACTGTACAAGCCGCTTAATGATGGATTGAAATTGAGTCACGTAAGCTTGGACAACCAACGTTTGTGCAAGCAAAACGGAACGTAGTTACGTACCGACTCCCATTGAAAAAAAAAAAGCCCGGAAAAAGTTCTCCAAGAAAAAATATTCCCTCAGCAGCAAATCTCCTAAAAATTACAATAACCTTTATAAGATTAGTTGCATACTTGTATCACAATTAAGGTTGTATGCACCTGATTTGAATTCTTTTTTGGAAAGGCCTTTATTGTTTTTCGTACTGCCTAAGTAGTTATTCATTCCAAACAAGTAAAGGCGTCAGCTGTAATCTCCTTGAAGTATTGATACAATTAGCAATTTGTAAATGGAAATAATTTTCCGGGAATTTTCTTCCAATGGTGAATTTTTTCGAGGGCCATTTTTTCTTGGGACCCTTTTCCGTGAGAATTGTTTTCCTTTATTTCTTTGTCAGGTTTAAATAAGTATTTCATTGTGAAATAGTTATGCCAATCGCGTGCATATACCTTTAATTCACTAAGCAAAGTAATATGCAACAGGTTTTTCTTTCTATTAACCACGATTAGACCAAATATAGCATCTTTTCTTTATTGTTTTCGACTTGTGGACAAGGCAAAATACAGCCACGTTACGTAACCCTAAAATTAACAATAAGCACTAATTACCTATATTATACATTAAATAGCCTAGGTTTTTATGGGCATGATCCATACTACAATTAGGATTCGGGCTAATATGGTCGTGATCGAAATGATCGATATAGGTACATATGTCGAGACGCTTCATCCACTACTAAAATTCGAATTTTATGATTCTTTTGTACATCACCTCGCTTCTTTCACGGAGAAAATGAAAAAGGAAAATTGACCTAAATATTAAAACAATTTATCCCACTAACCCTTTACTTAAAATTTGTAGAAATAAAATTCCAGTAAAATTAAATTCACTAGGTATTTTAGTTGACATTACAAATTTAATTGTAATAATTAGGAAACTTGAAATAGTTTTTAAAGAAACATGTCAAAATTGAAATTATTACAAGTTACCTAATAAAGTCTACTATTTCTACGTCAAATTCAGTCCTTTACGGAGAAAATGAAAAAGGAAAATTACCATAATATTAAAGCGATATTTACAATTTATCTCACTAGCCCGTTGCTTCGTAGGTAAGCGAAAATAATAAAGCAGAAATGAATTTACTAGATATTTTAGTTGATATTACAAATTAAATTGTAACAATTAAGAAACTTGAAATAATTTTTAAAACAGCATGTCAAAATTGATATTATTACCTAACCTATCGAAAATTGTAATTTTTGCTTTGCCTTAAAAATTTGGTTTTCTCCATGTAAAGGTTGATATTAATTATAATTTCCTCTAGGTACTAGAATATTAGATATGCCTGTGTAAAGTAATCAAATATTTTCTTTAGTTAAATATTCTTTTACTTGACGAAATTGCGTATTATACACTTAAAACTACAATAAAAAAAATTGTAACCTCTGAAGAAGCCACAATAATATGGCAATAAAACAATATTGGTAAATTCTTTTAATAAAAATCGTGAAATTCCTTAAATACGTTTTAATTATATATAAGTCTTACAGAATTTCAGTACAAAATGAGTATTAAAGCTTTAGCAGAATTACTGAGAAATAGGGTAGGTACATAAGTTCGTGCTTGCGATTACAGTAAAAGTAAACCTCAATGTAACTGATTTGTAAACATCCTGACAAGATTAAACAAAAGTAAGACGATAAACTTCCTACTTAACCACCATTGCTAATATCTTGTATAAGCCGATTTCTTCAGGAAATTTTATTAATATTTGAACGTTCAACCCTATACATATAACTACAACCCTACTAATACCGCCACTATAATTCAAAGAAATGAAAGACGTTTTCCTCTAGTGTAACGTTATAAAAGAGTAACTTTTTGTTGGTTGGTTTCCAATACACCCTCGCAGGTAGCTTTCAAAAAGCTTGATAATGGGATCCAACACTATACCAAAAAAGATTTTTTCGAAAGATGCACACTTCTTTTCCATTACGAAATATAACATTCATGTATCCATCATATGTGTCTTTTCAAATTTCATTTCATATTCACACTCCACGAATTCTCTTTTCATGCCTGCACGTATTTCATATTTTAGTCTTGTTTTCGCACCACTAGCACTAATAGTGCGAAGCATGGTGTGCATATTAAGTAGTTTTCCTTGTAAACATGTTTCTATAAAATTTTCATGGAAAAATATTTCCTCTAATAACCGCTCCTTCTTAGCTGAATAAAGGCATATTGACTTGGGTTCTGAACCATAATATGTTTAAGCTTTTAGGCATTCCTGAGTGTCGTTCTTTTAATAATACTGTTCATTGTCCTTCATTTAAAAACAAGTAGGGGAGACCTAGACAAAACATGGTTCGGAGTAAAACATGATGAGACATTAGTGCTTATACGAGGTATGTTCAAAAAGTATCGCAAATTTGGAATTCCCCGCGGGTTAGTTATACCGACAAGTTCAGCCATGTTGAATGTTCAGTTAATTTTTGACTGCCACTTTGCTTGCACGTGTTTTAACTCGCCTAGTCCAAAAAATGGATCAAAAAATCTGTATAAAATTTTGTGTGAAAAACAAAATTAAGTGCGCGGACGCATTCCGAATGTTCACTGTGGCATAAGGTGAAGCTACCTTGGACCGAAGCAACGTTCATCGGTGGTACAAAATGTTCTCAAAGGACCGAGAAGATGTGAACGACGAGAGCCTGCCGGACACCCCATAACGTCAACAACAGACAAAAACATTGATGAAGTGAAGAAAATACTATTGGCCAATCGTCATATCACCGTTGGAGAAGTTGCTGAGGACCTAAACATATCGATTAGCTCTTGCTATTCGATTTTTACTAATGATTTGGGCATGAGACGGGTCGCCACGAAATTCGTACCAAAATTTCTTAATTTCGACCAAAAACTGTGCCGCATTAATATTGATAAGGAACTGTTGCTCCAGAGGGTAACTGGTGACGAATCATGGTTTTATGGTTATAACGTGGAAAGCAAAGCTCAATCGTCCCAATGGCAGCTGTCGCATGAACCAAGACCAAAGTTAGGTCGAATGTGAAAGTTTTGCTCGGTTTTCTTCGATTGTAGGGGCGTGGTGCATCATGAGTTCTTGACACAGGGTAGAACGGTCAATAAAGAATATTATGCAATGTAAGAACAAAGGCTTTCACGACCGGAATCCATAGTAGAATAAATATTCGGGCTATAGGGCCGTAGTCTAAGTGAACTATTCTGTCCAGACGTTTCGTCAATTACTGCGGCTGACATCCTCAGTGGTAGTGCTGCGTTGACAACTGGGTCGCAACCTAGTCGCTGTTGAGACTTCGAGATATAATCTACGTTCACGTTGTCAACGCAGCATTACCACTGAGGATGTCAGCCGCAGTAGCTGACGAAACGTCTGGACACAACAGTTCACTTAGACCACGGTCCTATAGCCCGAATCGTCATTCTACTAGTATTATACAAGTTATGAGCAATTTGCGCAAAGCAATCCGCCAGAAACACCCAGTTTTATGGAAGGACAAAAATTGACTTTTACACCATGATAACGCCTCTCTTAACACATCGTTGCTTATGCGCCAAAAACAACACACTACTAATGCCACACCGTTTTTCCCAGATCTGCCCCCCCCCTGTGAGTTTTTCTTGTTTCCGAAACTGAAGAGGCCCATAAAAGGACGACGCTACACTACGATTTAGGAAATAAAGACGGCATCGAAAGAGGCGCTGAACAAGATCTCAAAAAATGATTTTTTGAAGTGCTTCAGAGATTGGAAAAAACGTTGACACAAGTGTATAATATCTGGTGGGGATGATATTGAAGGGGACATATTCATTAATAAATAAGTAATTTTTGAAAAAAGACGAAATTCGTGACACTTTTTAAACAGACCTCGCATGTACCTAACTTAATTATGTATCCTTATCTTGTAAATTTCGTTAATTAACTCACATGTAATTGATTTCTAATTTGCATAGATTCATAGTAATCAATAAGAACTAGATAAGTCAAAAACCAAAAAAATACGGAAAGAATATAACATTAGTTTGGTGTTCTCTGTGTAAAAACCTCAACTGATCACAGTTATATTAGAAAATTTTCAACATTAAATAATAACATGATTCTTGTAGTGATTTCCAGTCATTCTTAATAAAAAATGAATCAATATTTTTACAAAAATCAGAGGATAATATTGTAATTTATCTCTTACAGAAAAGGCTCTGGAAACATGTGACCTTCCCGAAAAGCCCGTCTCTCCCTTAAGCTCTAGGCATTTCCTTTCTAAATCCGCATCAGAACTAAGCAGTCCAAGAGATGAACCACCAGATCTACGACCTCAATCCGCTGCTTCCAATAGAACTTCCGCTTTCTCGGTCTATCAACGAACGCATTCCTTCTTCTCGCAGTTAAAGGTAAGGATATGCAAACTAAATTTGAACTTCAGTTTGTCATCGACTGACAAAAGCAATCCCGATTTATTATCGTTATTACAATTAACTTGTCCCTTTACGCGTTAGTGGACGGTATGATATAGTAACATGATAACATAACAGAAATGTTTTTTTTTACTTCACTACATACGTATATATCGTTCTATTAATACTACTGCTTTTTACGATACATACTTACAGTTTATATGGCCATAATCAATCTTTAATACCATGGAAAACAGGAAAACAATTATTAGGCCACGGCCCTATAGCCCGAATCTTCATTCGACTATGCATTCCGGCCGTGAAAGCCTTTGTTCTTAAATTATTCTTTGGTTACTAAGTGTGTATAATTTTGCCTTCATTTTAGTTTTAATTTTCTGGTTTTTCCTTACTTGTTGCATGAAACATATAAATAAGTGTGAAAAACTTGTTACTAAATTTTTTTATTATGGCACGTTTGCAAGATTTCACTTAGCTAAAAGCAGCTCTTAAAAGTTAAAAATAAAAATTTAATTTTTGAATTAATTTTTATCTTTACAAATAACCTCAATTTAATGAGGAAAAATTGTTGCCACTGTCACGCCCTCGCCGGGAATCGAACCCGGCTCCTTGGCTTTATGCACTTTTACTCTACCACTAAGCTTCGAGGGGTATCAACTTGAGGTTATCTGTCGTGGTAAAACTTAATTCACTTTAATACACTGAAAACCCTATCAAATTCCTCTAAAATTGTTAATAATGATTATTCATTAGTTCGACAATTCTGTGACGTACGTAGTTAGACAAAATTGTTGGTGTAACTGCTATCATTTCTCGTAGCTTGGTGGTAAAGCAATGGTGCGTAAATCCAAGGATCCGGGTTCGATTCCCGGCGAGAGCGTTACAGCAGCATTAATTTTTCCTTTTTAATTTGAGGTTATCTCTAATAGTAAAAATTAATTCACTTTAATGTACTTAAAACCCTACAAATTCTCAAAATTTAATTTCGTAGTCTTTGAATCTCAAAAGTTAAATATATTACAACATTTAAAATGTAAAACCAATAAATACTATCATTTACAGAATAAGTGGTCTAGAAGTAGAAGTAAAGAAAGACGACAAAAGTCTCCGTCAAGACAGGACTCCGCTGGAACTGACTACACAGGCGACGGGAGTAGCGATCACAGTAGTCCCAATAAGCAAAGTCCAGGACATAGGCTGAGAGGACTACGAGGTAGCATACATATTATTTTTATTGGCGTTTCGTTTTTTACCATGTACTATTCTTAATTTATCAGATTCGCCACTTAGTCGTATAAACGATGCCGATACACCTCATAGTTCTGCAAGCGGTTCTCCGAGAGCCCGACCTCCTACTCCAGGACTAGTTACAGGACTCGATCTTCTACCGGTAAGTGCTGATTCAATTTGCATTTCAACATGAAAATAATAAATATTTACATTTTAACTTTATCGACGCTGAAATCTTTTGACGTGACAACGTCTTATAATTCGATGGAGCCGGCTGCACGCACGAAAAAACATGACTCATGCGGCGTTACCTCGCTCTGAGGCGTTCCATTTAAGGCTTGAAGTGCAAGCGAGAGCGCGGAACGAGCGACAAAGAGGCACAATCGGCCTCCGCGTTCGGCAGCGTTCGACATCTGTCTCTCTCCTACTTGAGTGAGCGATGCGTCCGCGTGGACAGCTGCTATACAATAATACATTTCCATTTACCTCCTTCTCTATATCCATACAAAATATCTATCAAACAAATAAAATTAAAATTTTCTTTTGAAAAATGAAACCATTCCATCAGTATTTTCTTATGACGTTGTCACGTTCAACTATCGTCAGTAAACCGACTTTACAGACAACCGACTTTTTTAATCAATAATTACCTTGGTTAATCAATTATATTGATTTTATTAATTGCAAATCTATTTAAATTACATAATTTATTTACTTATGCATACATAACTAGGATTTTTCCTAATAATGAGCAAAAAGCAAGATTGAAACTAATTTTGGGTTCGATCTTGATTCAAATAAATTGATAAAATTCTTGTGAAGATTATAATTAGATTTTACTCAAATATTTATTTGGTATTTTCCACTTGTAGAAATTACCAGAAAGTGGAAGTAAATTAGGTACCAACCCCAGGAATATTTGATAACGTCTCAAAAAATACGAAATTAAAAACAAAATTAGATTATTTCAATACCTTCTTACTTCTGTATCATAACTAATATTACAAATTCGAATTTTGAATTTGTTTGTTCGTTTATTACGATTTCACGACATAACTCATCCCAAGAGATAGAAAAATTAGTTTTATGCGGACGGCGATGATTTTTGACACGTTTATTACTATTTCACGCCGTAACTGTTCAACCGATCATCATAAAATTTTATACTTACGAGGTCTGTTCGCGAATTTTGTGTTTTTTCAAATATTTATTTATTCATGAGTATCTATTTTGTCCCCTTCAAAGTAAAATTTTTGGCGAATTTTTGAGCGCAAAATGCAGGTAACATTTCCTATTGCAGTGGTTCCTAACCTTTTTAATATTGTTACCCCTGTAACCTATTAGGAAAACTGATTTTACCCCGACCTTAAAATGTTATCAATACAAACAACACAAGTAAATGCAAATATCTTTAACAATCACAAATTACACATCAGTCTTACCTTTTTAAATACCTAAACAATAAATTAAGTAAACATAGTTAGTGTGATGGTTGGTATTATTTTGCATTTTTCAGTTTTTTTTTGTTAGCTTTAATTTTGCTTAAGGCGCATTCTAAGTCATATTCCACATTTAGTAGGATTCTGGTCTTTGTTTTCAGTGTAACCAAAGTTGAAAAACCACTCTCACATCTATAGGTGCTGGCAAAGGGTATTAGAATTTTTAAAGCTCTGCTAGCTAGAGCAGGATATTCGGCACCAGCTTTTCGTCAAAATGTGCTAAGATCATAATTTTGAAATTCTACTCTGCAAGTAGTATTCTGGCGTAGTCCAAGATATTCCACTTTGAGCCTCAGGTCTTCGTCTTTAATAGTATTATCATCCGCAGTAAATCGTCTTAATATCCAAGAACTGGACTGACGATTATCCATATCGGAAAATATTCACATTTAACAATTGTGCATACAGTTGTATAAACATCGACATATTTACAATTTTATATTTTTACTATCTAGCTACGTATTTTATCAGATTAGGTCTTAATTATTAGGTTCTTTGTTACCCCGCAGAATAATTGATTTACTTCCGCGGGGGTAATTACCCCCAGGTTCGGAATCACTGCCTTATTGACTGTTCTGCCCTGTAGCACAAACACCATGCTCCTGCAATCGAAGAAAACTGTAAGCAAAACCTCACACTCGACCTAACTTTACACGGGTTTTTTCGGTCCTGGCTCATGCGGCAGCTTCCATTGGCATGATTGAGCTTTGGCTTCTACATCATAACCATAAATCTATAATTCTTCACTAGTTATGACCCCCTGGAGCAGGCTCGTCGCGGACAGAGTCCAATAGCTCCTTAGCAATGTTAATGCGATGGTGTTTTTGGTTGAGAAATTGAGCAATTTTGGTACGAATTTCGCGGCGATCTGTCTCATACCCAAATCATTAATAAAAATCGAATGGCAGGAGCTAATCGATATGTTTAGGTCCTCAGCAACTTTTCTAACGGTAATTCGACGATTAGCCAATACTATTTTCTTCACTATATGAATGTTTTCATCTGTTATTGACGTGCTCGGGCATCCGACACGCTGTTCGTCGTTCACAACTTCTTGACCCTCTAAGAACATTCTGTACCAGCAATCAACGTTGTTTCGGTCCAAGGTAGCTTCACCATATGCCACAGTGAACATTCGGAATGCGTTCGCGCACATAATTTTGTTTTTCACCCTAAATTTGATACAAATTCTTTGATCCATTTTTTGGAACAGGCAAAAATCGAAGACTAGCCAAAACACTTGCGAGCAAAGCAGTTGTCGAAATTATCTGAACATTCAACATGGCCGAAGGAGAGACATGAATACCAACATACCTACACAAAAAAATCGAATATACGTAACCCTACGGAAATTCAAAATTCGCGATACTTTTTGAACAGGCCTCGTACATTGTCAGAGCTACAGAAAAGGGCATAGGGAACTTTCTATCCAGAAAAGAAGTACTATTCCCGAGGGATAGAAAAATTAGTTTTATGTAGATGTCAAAGATCTTTGACGAGTATTTATAACGTCAACGAAGGCGGGTAAAACCTACATAGTTACTCTTAAATGCAAAGCATAAAATGCATGTTTAATGATCAAGCAAAGTTCGAAACCGTGTAAAAGCGCGTCCTAGAGTACACAATGTACATTAAAATCACAAACTTACATGTACGAATTCATGTTTGTATGACAAGTTAAAAATAGTTTCAGTACTCGCTATTATGATCGGCGGTAAATACCAAGAATTAAAGCAATAATATCGTGATCCCGAAATTGTTATTGGATTCGGTTTATAAAAATGGTTTAAAGTTTAAAATTAGAAAGGAAAACAAACCACTTCCAGGTCCCCATGAAATAAGCAATTGCAGTTGCTTATTTCCAGGCAAGACTTGAAGAAGTATCACAGTTTTAGAAATCATTTGAAATGAGTAACGCGAACTATTTGATTTGGCATGTACAAGTAAGTTAAAACACAATAAATGTTACTAATCGTTCTTGTAACATAGTAGTAGAATTAAAATTAACTTGCAGTTTCAATATTTTTTTTGTTTAAAACAAATAAGCAAAGCCAACGACAAATAGGAAGAAAAACCACTCTAAAGTCGCGTTTAGACCAATACAACAAACTGATACGTAAAACATTTGCTAACGTTCTGGAACAAATGTTCGGCATAGCGCATGTCATATTAACCTCTGCAACATATTTTATTTGTCAGTGTTCCTCAACGTATTTTAATCACGTTGTGACTGCTTATTTAGAAGGTTTTCAAAAAATGAATGTTGAGTTACAGACAGCGTGCGAGGGATTTATTATTTTGTGCGACAAAAGGGTAAGGGTACCATTTTTCGGAATCTTAAAAAGACAGAAATCGTCGTTATTGGATGACAGCAATTTTGAAAAGTAGAGCTCGTTACAGGCCCTCTAATTAGATAAACAATAGACGCTTTAACTCTAATTACAGTGGCGTAGCGGGAATTAATACCACTCCGAGCGAAGCCTAAATTTGCCGCCCTTGCTATTTTTACAATTATGTAAGATCTTTCATTTAAATTGGTCGGAATTGCAGTGAAAAAGTGCCCTTGAGGAGAAAAGTAGCGTTTACTATTAGCATTAATTGAAAATGCATGAGCTTATTTACTAATAGCTTTCCTTACATACAAGGTCTATTCAAAAAGTATTGCGAATCTAGTGTTTTTTCAAAAATTATTTATTTATTCATTAGTATCTATTTTGTCCCCTTCGTAGTAACCCCAACCAGATATTTATACACTTGTGCCAACGTTTTTTTTTTGAATTCTCGAAACACTTCTAAAAACCATTTTTTGTGATCTACTTCAGATCCTCCTTTTTATCTCTTCAATCGCAGCTTAGCGTCGTCCTTTCATGGGCCTCTTCAGTTTCCGGAACTGTGTTGTTTTTGGTGAAAAATTCGCGCACAAGTAATGATGTGTGAGCAGGGGCGTTATAATTGTGCAAAAGCCAATTTTTGTTCTTCGACAAATTCGGGCGTTTCTGGCGGATTGCATTGCGCATAACTTTCAAATAATATTCCTTACTAACCGTTCTACCCTGTGGCAAAAACTCATGATGCATCACGCCTCTGCAATCGAAGAAAACTGTAAGCATAACCTTCATATTTGACCTAACTTGGCGCGCTTTTTTCGGTCTTGGCTTGTGCGGCAGCTTTCATTGGGATGATTGAGGTTTGGTTTCGACGTCATAACCATAAACCCACGATTCTCGTCACCAGTTATGAATTTCTGGAGCAAATTTGGGTCGTCGCGGAGGTTAAGCAACCAACGAAAATTTAAAATTCGCGATACTTTTTGAACAGACCTACTTAAATATTGAAATCGAAGACTTTCACTATTAGTACAACAGCAAATAAAAGTGTGATTAATTTACCCAATGCAAAATAATAAACAAATATTTCTTAAGAAATCTTTCCAGAATGGGGTTTCTTCTTTATGTACCCCCATGGGCTTCTTTATTATTCAACTAGAATTTGATCAATAATAATTGTAATTGCTTTTGTCGAATTACGAAAGATAACACAATTAAAGCTTATTATTAAGAATGATTTAAAACGTATCAGTTAAATTTTTATGAGGAAAACTATTTTTTTTACCTACCGTAACTCAAAGCGGGCGCATCGGTTGTGATAAGTTAATTAAGTA